TGCGAACAAAGGAGCCGGCACTACCAAAGGAAATAAAAAGCTCCTCAAGAGCATGCTTCCAGGGATCTTCAATCTGTGACCTAATCATTTCAATCAACAGAGAAATCATGATGTCACGGAGCCAAGAGAAGTCATCTGCTTAGTCGACGATGCCCCCGCCTTTCGAGGGCGGCAAACACCCCTAGGTGGCCCGACACCTTCAGCCACACGGCTTTGGGCCTAGATGGCTAGTAGTCTATTCTGTTCATTTTGGGTGGTCAACCACGCTTGTGATCCACAGCCATATCACGAAAGGTAGCTTCGGCTACCTGAGTTGCCTTTGCTTTAGCAATATGATATTGGGGGTGGTGAACTCTTCCCGTGCTTGAAGAGTTGCTTGATTTCAATGGTTGTAGTAATTGTTGTCCCCATTCGACTCCACCCTGCGTCGCTGAGAATTTGGCGTATCCACTGTGGTCTATTGCAATCTGTGGTTTATTGCTGGCTGTACTGCTGCTTGTCGTTGCTGCTGGCTGTACTGCTGGCTGCTTGCTGTACTGCTTGCTCCTTCCTGTACTGCTTTACTGCTTGCTGCTGTGCTGCTTGTTGCTTGTTGCTTGCTGCTGTCGCTGGTGCTGGTTGCTGCTTGCTGCTGGTTGCTGCTATTGCTGCTGCTCGTTGCCGCTGGTTGCCGCTGCTGCTGCTGCTGCTGCTGCTATCTGCTGCTGCTGCCGCTGCCGCTGTTGTTGGTGCTGCTGCTGCTGCTGGTTGCTGCTGCTGCTGCTGATGCTGCTGCTGCTGATGCTGCTGCTGCTGCTGATGCTGCTGCTGCTGATCCTGCTGGTTGCTGCTGCTGTTTGGCTGTTGCTGTTGCTGCTTCCTGCTGGTTGCTGCTGTTGCTTGAATCCTGAAGGCTGCTGCTGCTTTGCTGGCTGCTGTTGCAGGTTGCCTGTGTTGGGGCTTTCCTGCTGGTGCTTTCTCCGCCCTCGACCATGACAAGTCCCCACCCTCTTTCAATTTCGTCTGCGCAGCCCCCCCGAAACTGAACGAAAACCAAGGGTTGTGGAGGCCAAACTTGTGTGAGCTTTGGTGCTTTGCTGGTGCTGCTGCTGCTGATCGTTGCTGCTACTGCTGCTGGTGGTTCGTGGTTGCTGCTGCTGCTGCTGCTGGTTGCTGCTGCTGCTGCCGCCGCCACTGCTGCTGCTCGTTTGCTGCTGCTGGTGCTGGCGCTACCTTTTTGCTTTGCCGCTGCTGCTTTGCTGGTTTGCTGCTGCTGCTGCTGGCTTCTTGCTTCTGCTCAGACTCTTCCAACCTCTACCTTTCGTCCACCTCCGTCGCCTCGTGGCTGGTGGTGCTCCGCCCCAAAGTCCTACGAGTGCACGGCCGCGGCTTTGATGTTCCCGCGCTCCGATGCGGTGATGTGCCGCCCGTTTGGCCACCATGTGCCAACAAGGTGCCATGCGACGGGCAACCGTTGCCAAGCACTAAGCGAAGTTGTTGGATGGATCGTTTTACAATGACAACTGCTCTATGGGAGCATGGTTGGAACCATCTCATTGAACTGCAACCCATGAACCATGTTTTCTGCTCCATCATTTGCTTCAGAAAGATGGTGGTATTCGAGCTACGGCGTTGCGCCACGGATGGTTTTCGTGGTTTCCGCAGTGATCCGACTGGTCCAGCTTCATGTGCGAAACGAACCAAAGGTTCAGGACCAGATCATCAGGTAGACGAGAAAACGTAGTTCGAAGGATGTATATTTCTGTTTCGATTCGCTTTGGGGCACCTAAATCGATGAGGTCCCACATGAATTCCCAAATATGTTCAGTTTTGGTTGAAATTTTCGAGCAAGGATCTCAGATGCTTCCCAGAAACCATGGATCGGCGGCCTTTGAGGTGGATGGCAATCGCCTTTTGGAGGAAGAAATGAGGACGCTAGCTGCTGCTTCTTCGCATTTCACGAAAGGTAGCCCTTTAGGGGATACCTTGAGTTTGTCTTGCGAAGCAAGTGTTGGGACGTCCGGGTCTAATAATTGATCGCTCAATTCAGACCCCCCCCCACCCCCCCCCCTCGAATTGATTTTTCAATACAGACCCCC